GATAAGTTGCACTGTAGAGGGCCATTTTAAGCTAGAAAAAAGCATCAATAGTATGGCTGATTTGAAGGGCTAAGACATGTTTCCTACAGGTTGCACAATATATTTGTAGGTCGCCAAGAAATAGGCGTATTGCACACTTAAAGGGATCAGCGGAGCACATGGGACGAACCCAGGACCCTAGGTGCTGTATTTACATGTATTGTACATACGGATAATTCTTCATACGGGTGTACTGTACTGTACAAGTACAGTACTACAATACTCCGTTCCCTGGATTTCCACCGCCCTCTTCCTGCGTGTGATGAATTTGCGAAATCTCTGTACCCAACGGCGCCGGGAAAGTCCGCGTGACCTATCAACGTTGACAGTTGAATGCCGAGAATTTGCTTCCTCGGCCGTCGAACATCGCTAGCTAATCTCACTTCTCTATTCATGGAGATACTTTTTCTTCTTCTCCCTTCTGGATTTCATTGTTTTCATATTGCATGCCTCTTGGATGGCCTGTCTGATCCAGAGTTCGCTGGATCTCAGGGCAAGGAACAGCTGCTGCGAGAGTGGAGCATACATGCTATGTACGGAGTACGGAGATGCTTTGAAGGTTACGATGTGAGGCTGACCCCGGATCGCAACCCTGCTGCTCTCGGAAGTTTTTATGATGTGTGGTGATCAAATGATCAGATGAAGGCTACTGGTTATTACCGTTGTTAGTACGGAGTACTATATGCAATTAACCTATACCCAACTTACCTATTGGTTACTGTAACGGTTAGGTATTGTACTGTCTATGGACTACAAATACAACAGCATTCAATCCCATGTAAGTCAATTGCAGCCAAGTAATCAATATGGGAAACTACGATTCTTGGCTTCGCTGGACATACTTATACCTTCTTTGCCATTGCCATCTGCCCCGACCCCATTGGTGCTCTGCACGGCTAGCATGCAGATGCGAACGTGTAGATTGGGTTAGAAGAAGGCCAATAAGGCATCACTAGATCGCGCTGGATAGCTGGATAGGAACGGCTCGACAACCTAGCTCAGACAAGGCCATTGATTCATAATTGGTAAAGTCGCGAAGTTAGGTACGGAGCTAGGTAGCCAAATTTTAAGGTTGGCAGCATTGCCGTGTTATGAAAATATAGTAGGGAGTAACTCATTACATACTATGACAGTTCATCCTGTGCCGCGGCTATTTCATCCAAAAAATCAGCCTCCCGCAGGTGCGCAATAAATCATTCAGTGCATGGTCGGGATTAATTAGCCAAGTGCATGAGGTAGCTCGAGGGTAGGTACAAGTACAGAGTAGTGTACTCAACAATCTGCCGGTAACCTGAAAACTGTCATCCAAACGCCACATGCTTGTAATTTTAGAATTGCGGATGGTGCCGTTGGCGTAGATCGCTGCCCATCTGCTCAAAGTCACAGCATGGCCTTGGTGACTGCACGGGAGATACCACTACATTACAAGAGGAGCATTAGGGGAGATGTAAGGAGTGCAGATTATAGCTATGTGATATGAATTGTACACATGCGCGTAGCGTAGTGTAAGTGTAATAGAAGGTAGTGTATGTATCAGTAGTGTACTGCTCTGCAACAACCTTATTCTCCGATAACATTAAGAGAACATGGCGCTGCCCGGTAAAAGTTCTTGGGCAATGGAGTTCATGGGTACTCGTAGATAGTGTAAGATCATACAGCCGCCGCGGGCCTGTTCCGGTTTGACGCCACTCTATGGTCTCGCTGCCCTACGGACTTGTCCCAGAAGACAGATTTTAGTTTTGAATGTGGTTGTTGAGTATTACGCTGAGGGCAACTTGGCCTTCTCGCAGTCGAGACCCCTAGGCTGAGGCGGGTCGTCCTCAATATGTACATACACAGTAGAGGTTATGTCTTCTGCCCTACCCTACTGTACGAACAATAGCAGAAGAAATTGGGAAAATTGAAAGTTGCCATCCTTTGCATAGCGTGTAACGGTATGTAATGACACAAGCGCTGAACCGACACAACGGGAAAGAACGTTGATCTGCAGTTTGCTATCCACCGTTGCACCAAATGAAAGGTTGGAAGCCCTCTGGCGAATTGTTACCTTAGGTTTGGCCAATCATCGTCTTAGAAGATGACGGTTTTCCGCAGGACCAAACCCAACGTTGGGGTACAGTCTAGACACCGACAGGCGGTTATGTGCATGGCCGCACGCACCTGTTGCAGGCAAGTCGCTAGATCCGAGTCGTCTCCCAGCTATCCTAGTAAGCACCCACACTGGAACGGCCGTCAAATCTACGATGCGGCCGAAAACGCCGGGAATTGCTGGCAGATGGATACTTTCTCAAGACGAGACAGCGGGAGTAGGTTACTCCACGAGGTACAAGTACATGTAGTTATCTTACTACCGTCATGTTACATATAGTCCTACGTACAGTGTAAGGTGGGTAACATAGTTACGGTATTATTCACTCAAATACTAATACATGTAATATCCCGTTAATTACGCCCAAACACTCTAGTGCACGAGGCAATACATCCTGTAACGTCAATACAAGACAATGATTACTGTCGCTTCCCTACATGGTCGATCAACCATTCCAGTTTCGACTAAGTACATAGGATGATTACCACAGGAGCTTGAAGCACTTGTCACGTACATACAACCCCCAACTAAGGTATCTTTATCTACTTCTTGCTAACTCGAGATTTCGCAGTGGTTTACCTCCTGGATCCCTTCCAAATCCGGGATTGTACTTTAGACGTGAACGCTGCAGGTCATGCAGGAGTGACATGCCCGATGTGACACCTACATTTGAACATTCCAGCTGAATCTGAGGTAATGGGGAGGTATCCCGTACTATGGAGTAGTCGATGCTGCCTTTAGCTCAGTTTGCGGCTAGCGTAAAAGCTCATCACGTATGTACTCTTACAGTAACCTAGTAAATATCTCACTTAAGACCTGGAACGGGGCTCTTTTCTCCGCTTCTGCTGGCAGTCCAAGGTACCAAAGGTAGTGACCGACCTTCTCTTATCAATGCCTTTACCGTAGTGTAAATCTCGAAGAATTCTGGGTAGACAGGCAAGCCACGAACTTCAAAGCCAAAGGTGCAAACGCAGGGTGCTCGTGCTCGTGCAATGTCGCATTCGTCGTCTTCGTCCAGTTTCCCGTCCCTCTTGAGACCTGCTGCATACCCTGCCCTCCTACCGCGAACAGCTCGTGCACTGTTACTCCAAAGGATCAACCGCTTTGCTCTCGCTTATACTCGCATCTTCGATCCTCGGATGGCATTGGTTTGCCGCAGTCCATAACCCGTTCCCCCCCCCTCCTCCCAACCCATCCATTTCCGGCTCCACTGCCTGCAGAGTGCCAAGTGTCGTGGATGCCATCCATGGATGAACCGACTTCCGCTCCCACATCTAGGGTGACGTTCGGACTAGAGTAACTTGCTGGCAATTGGCATTGGAAGGAGCTCCGGGGTTATGCATCCGGCCGAGCTATCGGTGCCGACGCTGGACACTGATACTAGCCCGACACAGCACACGGGGCGCCTGGACGGACGTGCGAGATAAAAACTCCAAGAGACTCCGACCGGGCTAACTTGGCTTCAGCACGAAGCACTACCCGGAATGGACTAGCGCCTGACCGGTAGAGAGGCGTGCCAGGGTAGCTCCCGGTTGTCGCTACCCTGATTCCCTAGGTAGCGCCTACTTACCTTTCATCCGTGAAATGTTGGGGAGAGAACCTCGACTCATCAGTTGATCGTCCAGTGTAGTCTGTGCTCTCTGTCCCTGGAAGAAGCCGCTTCACAGCGAACTTGTAGCAAGCGACTGGGGTGCTGACCAGGGGGGCGCTTGCTGGCATTGCAGCCTACCCTTCGATTTGCAGGTGCCATCCATGGCCACACCTGCCAGGATGCCCCGGTTCACACCTATCCTTGCTCCATCCAGGCCCCATCCCAATTGCACCGTCGCCTTTAAGTCGCACAAAAACCACTGGATGCCACTGACACCAAATCTCCCCCCTCGAGTGTCTTACAGACTGCCTCGCTTTCCCCCAAGCCGCACATCCCGAACAGTCTCCCCCAAGCGTCGACATCGGGAAGGACACGGCTCTCCACTCAGCTACCCAAGCCTTGGGCGGCCGCATCGCTCAGCTCCCACTTATTATCTCATGTCCTCAGAGAGCGACTGAGTCGTGACGGGACGGGACTGCAGCTCGCCGCTACCTTCGCCGTTGCACGAATGCCCCTACATGCTGTGGCACTTGCCAGAATCCCAACATCACTGAACGGCGATCACTCTGCAGTATCTCGTCCGACTCGGCGTCTTGGGCTGTGTCGTTGTCCTTCCCACCCTCCCAGCTGGCCGGTCTTGTTCGGCCGCATCTGTCTGGTTCTCGTCCTGAGAGGTCGCAGGGGTGTAAAGCAAAGGACTTAAGTCGCTGCAGGCGTATCTCGACAGCGTCCCAGGTTCTCACCGTGTGGGACGAGCGCTGCGCAGACTGCCCACTCGAGCCGCCACCTCGCGGGTTACCGATTTCTTTCTCGTCGCCCTACTGTTCACTCGTGCGGGAGACAGCTCGTCTTTCTCAGAGCGAACATCTAGGTCATCGCCAACCGAGCCAGCGCTATCACCCAATCCGCCGTATCGGGTGATGTCGGTCGCCGCTTCTTCCCCTTGGGTACGGTTTGGATGTTCGTCTCCCTTGGTGGAGACCTCGTTGAGACCCCCTTTACCCCGGTGGCGCTGCTCCGCAGGCAACTGAAGCACCCGGTCCGGCCACCAATTTCAGCGACGCGTGCCCCATGCGGGTCTTGGGCCACCGGGACCACGATTCCTGGACGACATTTGACCAGCGGCAAGGCACGTTGGACCAGACACGCTTCTACCTCGGTTTGACACGGGCCAGAGCAGACTCCGGGGTGCTGCTCATCCGAGAAGCTCTCCGTCTCCGCCCATGTCGGGCTCTCCACCGCTCCCCCCTAAAACCAGCCATGAGGTTGCCGAGCAAGCTCAGGGGACATATCACTCCAGTACACAGGATGTTTACCGTGGACTTTCGACAGCGCAGAGCGAGGAAAGCGCGGCAGCGGGTACTCCAGGCCGCTCTCGATCATTCCTCTCGGATAACACTGAACGACCGCCGTACACCTTCGCTCAGCTTGACGTATCGGTAACGACACCTCCAGCCTACACGCAGCAGCTTGAACAGGTTGGTGCTCAACCGACACCGTACCTGCAGGCTCCCGGAATTGGGGCTGTCGAAAGCCAGTTTGGGCCGCGGCCCGCTCCGCGAGCCTATCCTACGACGTCTCACCATTCGATACAAGAGTCACTCCCGAGCGCGGTACCCAAACCCCAGAGGAAAGCCAAGGGACATGTCGCATCTGCATGTGTCCCTTGTAAAAAAGCACATCTCCGGTTCGTTCACCCCTTTGAGAAGTATTCTTGGTCGCGGAGCGAGACGTGTTGACCCCCGGTAGATGTGATGGTATGTACCCCAACACGCTTTCTCCATATAAACAGACCGGAAGACCAGGCCGCGAACAGTCGGCACTGATTTTGTGGGCCCCGCGGCTAGGGAATTGATTGACATTATATTGTCAGGACAATTCCGAGGACGTTCTTCGCTGCGTTGAACAGTGCTAGGCACCAGCCAGTGATGCGATGAAGTCCCAGGATAACTCCTTGGCTGACCTACTCAAGTTGAGACGGGCCACTGGCCTACTATAATTGGACTTGGGCCACTTGAGCAAGCAGGCTGCAGGAACCGGTGGATACGGTTCCCAAGCGGGTTCCATATCTCGCCGTTCCGGACTTGAATGCATGGGCTTGTGAACCGGCAATGGTGTTCTTCACCTGTGGGCTACGTTAGCACCGTGTCGGGTTTCTCTCGCAGTAGCGAGGCGGGCGGCTGGTCCTGCGGCAAGCCGGCCCGCCCTCCTCAAGGTGTGGTGGGATCAGCTGCTGAGACACTTGTGTTCGGCCTGTGTTTAGCCATTTGGCACACCGAATCCGTGTAGCCCAGGAAACACGATGCGACTTTTCTTCGCGCCTGCTCAAGGACCATGGAAAGTTGGGCTATGGACGGACAATGGGAAACAGTCGGAAAGCAGAGGGCGTAGGATGCTTTAGCTGTGGAGAGATTTCCTGAAGAGTGGATGTCGCGGGATTTAGTGATCCTTGCAGTCCTTCACCCCAGATATGATATCGAGCATATTGCCTTGTGACCGATTGTGCTGACTCTCCGGCAGCGCAACGTCCGTGTTCGAGATGTAAGAGTACCAACAAGGAGCAGGCGTGTGTCGATGTTCAGCACAAGAAACGGGGTAGGCCGCGGCTACGTGACGACAGCCAGTCAAGATTTGAGGGTTCGAGGCTCGGAAGTGCCGCAGATGCGATGCGGAGACCGTTGTCATCGGCCTTCGGCACCGGATCGTCGCTGGGTATGGCTTACGATGATAGTCTCCGGCAGACTCAGTCGTACCGCGTACTGAAATCTCAGCCAGCCGAGCCGATTGCCCCGAGGTTCCTCGACCGCGGTCTTCCCTCCGACGCGAACATCTACCCTCCACCCTTGTCCATCACAGCTCCGCGGGCGACTGACGAATCGGTTGCTTTCTTAACGATCAACCTCGAATTTTCGAAGGCATCACCTTCGTTCCTGAACGTCGTAAGACGGACTTCGGTAAAGGGGCTGAAACTTGCGGATATACTCACGGCTGAGGACCGACCCAAGGCCACCAGGCTTGAACGGCAAGCGAAAGACGAACAGGCTAGAAAGGAGCCGACGTACCTGCCGCCTATGTTCAGCAGTGAACGGGGAGAGACTGTGATGCAAAGTCTTGGCTTCTCTCCAGAAGAGGTGTCAAGATACTCGCTTCCTTGGTTAGATACTTTCAACATTATGGGGGACGACGGACAAGGGCATCCAATTCCCATGCGCGCAGGCCTGGACAAGCTAGATTCGATATACTTCGTCGTGCTATTGTTGAATCCGGGACCTTCCGGGCCCCGACGCTTGTACCCCACGCCATCCCCGAGTATAAGGGACCCGGCGTATTCGTATGAGACGCCAATGCAGTCTTATTCACAGCCAACGCCGCTCTCAGCGACGTTTGACTTGAGGCAGCCTCGGCATGGAGATGCTGGATACGAAACCCGGCAGCCGGGTATGGTCAGTGCGCCGCCGCGCATCATATCAGGCACAAGCTCCGGCTTTCCACCCACATACGCGGCGTCGCCCAGCAGACCCGACTACCCTAGCACGCCGAGCTCATATCAGGTCCCCCGGAGTGAAGCGCCGTCGGATGGTCGTCCGTCATCGCAGGCGGCGGACTTCCAGCTCCCGCCACTACCCCAAATCAGAAGTTCATCCGGGAGCAACCCTCAACCTCTAGAGCCACCGCTATTTCAGCATCGGGAGGGACGTTCTCGCGTAGACATCAGCGGGCTTCTCGAGCAACCGACTGCGGCCAGAAATCCGCCAAGAGAGTGAAAGGGGGTCAAATGGTTCGGCAAACGCTGACGTTGGGTTCTACCCAGCCTGGGGGTGTGGAATTGAGCAGAGGTGCTCGAGACACAATGACGTTGCTCTTCCATTTGCGTTTTTTCTTATTCCATTCGTTTTTTTTCTCTTTCTTTTTCCTGGTTTGATCTCTTGGCTACACACGGGTCCAGTTAGCATCTCGGGTTGATACCACAAGTGTATATCTTGCGCAAATCGCCTATATCGGTGAGCAATCATCTACCGGCAATGGAGGGGGGGAGCATATCTTGGCGTTGGTTTGGTTTGGTCATGGAGAAATTCGCCGCCCGTAGGCGGCGTTTTCATGTCTTTCTCATACTCCTTTTTTAATTCCGCCAGGTCGCCGACCTGTTTGCTGGGCTTCCGTTCCGTCCATCCTCGCTCTCAAAGGAAAGGTTGGATAAAAGTTTGAAGTCAGGTCGGCAGCCCGGACAGGAGAGGCTGAAGTGCACGTGCGACGTGGCACGGACGACACCGACGAGCTGGGTCCAAGGTATATATTTATCTCTGACCGCCTCATCTATCTGGTGCTTCTTCGGCCACATGTGGACGTTCGTTGCCGGAGCCCGTTGTTTTGTCCTTAAGCTTTGCTTCACTTGGTGTACTGTTGCTGTCCTCGAATACCATTGCTGTTTCTTTTCGTCTGGCAGAGCCAGTGTCCTGGATTTGGATATCGTCCGGTGTATATCGCTGCTGCACTTGATCGCTCCTTTCCCCTGTTTGACTTGTACTATACACTGCCCCGGTCAATTCTCGGTCGCATGTACATACTGGACAGTAATGCAGTGTATTGCACCTGGATGCGGCTGCCAACGGGGCCAATGGAGGGAGCGGGGATAAGCTGACAGGATTAAATCGCTGAAGGAACGAGAACGGAAACCGTCTGCCTGGTTTTGTATGGCGGGTGTCCAAAGAAGAGGTGAGTGGTTCCTGAATAGCGAAGGAAGAAACCAGGTGGTGCGTGTACCAATCTTAGAGGATATATGAGCAAACAGACGGATGAATAACTGGTGACGGTCGGAAGGGAAAGGGATGCACGTTCATTTAAGCTTCTTGGGGACTTATAATTGCTTGACCAACCGCAGCCTGCGCATGCCATAGGTATGGATCCTGCCAGGTTATTTTAGGGCTGAGCTGACGATCCCGTGCGCTCGGAATGCAAAACTGGCGGTGGACAACAGATGGGACAGAACAGTCGGTAGGTAAGTGGTCTCAAGAAGATGATGAATCAGGGTTCTGTGTTGGGTTGACGGCATCGAGGCTTGATGCCACAGGCAAGGATTCGAACTCTGCCGAAGAGTTGGAAAGATGGGAGACCAGGAGGGGAAGGAGGAAGGGGAGGAGGTTAAAGGAAGGGCATTTGAATAGGATCTATCTGACCTTAGTTCGGTCAGGACCAGCTGGAATATTGTAACAGGTACAGTACAGTACATGCAGTAACGGATGCTGGCCCTGCTTTTTCCCTCCCATTGCTCCAGCCCAAGTACATTCCAGTACCTCTGATCCTGCGCTATCCGGGATCCACGGCAGTCTTCGCATCTGGAATTGGGTGCTTAGGTTCGTCCCAGTGAGGGGGATCCGCGTAACATCGTCGGGCACGCAAAAGTCAATGGGCTTCATTACTGTAGATTGCAGTTGAGTGACGTCGGATCTGCTGGCTTGCAGCCTTTTTCCGATTCCCGCCGGCGCAACGGCACCTCGACACGAAGCTCACACCGATATCCGTAAGACGTCAAAGAGACAGTGATTGGGGCGCATGCAGGACTTACACGTGCCCTGGCAGAAATACATACGACGTGGCTTGTTGCCTGAAGGACCACCTCGTATCCGTACCTCGTGGTTACTTCGTAGGTAAGGTACCTTAGTTATGCACCAGGATTTCAATCACCGGAAATCCGGTTGATCTTACTTGCAGTACTTCATAGGAGGCAATGGACCAGAAAAACTTGGTCTGGTGCACATTGTCGGACAGAACATCTTTGCATAAGTTAGGACGAAAAGCGAAGCCGAAAAGAGGTCATTGGAGATTTGTCAGTTACCGACCGGTTGGCGCACGAGATCGGCATCCTGGCGTTTGATAACTTCCCCACGATCGGAACCTTATCTGATCCGCGGTGGACAATGCAAGGATTGGCTAAAAAAGCTGTTGTGTGTGTGGTATCCCGTAGTCTTAAGGTGTTCTCGTAGCACCAATCGGATTAGCCCTGGACCCCCAAGTTGTAGCATGAAACAAAACACCGAATGGCGAAAACCAAACTATTATAAGAAGGTATTCGATATTTTGTATGAGAGCACTAACATTAACGCCCTTGTTCTCTATTCCCATACATCTCGGAAGGCTCTCAAGCCAAAAGGTATCTCCTGCAACAAGTGACGCATATCTTACAAACCTGTCTCGCCTTAAGAGACACTGCTGTCCGTATTGAGTCCCGATGCCGCAACTTTGGACACTTGAGGATCCCTTTACCAGTTTCATGATAGCCAGACCTCAAGACCTCATAACATCCTCTTTCCGGCCTGACGGAAAGTTCAGCAATATGAGGATAACCCCTCACATATCAACCCGAACACAACGTATAGCTTGATCTACCGATTTCCATCCACCTCCTCCGGGTCATCGTCGCTAGGACTCATCGATCCGACATTTCCTAATGGATCGCCGTAAGATGACTCTGTTCCGTTAACTAGCTTTTGCCGCCGCCGCCGCGTGTTTGGTCTGACAGGAAGCGTGGTCCTTACTCCCACGGTAACAGACTGGTCAGTCGTGTTAGAAGATGCAGGTTCGTGAGGACTAGGGCGTGCCTGGTTTGCGTTTACCCAGGTTAACGTAGCGGGGGATGCTGGCGACACCGTGGTGGATGAGGCTTCCCTATGCGATGCGGCTAGCTCATCTAGCTCCTCACCGAGCCTGTCCCTCTTCGCGAGGGGCTCGTCTGCGACCTCATCGTCATGTGGCCGTTTTATGCCGTGGAAAAGGACATCGCTAGAGGAATTGCCGCCTGGTTCAGTCACAGCGATGACGAGGTCTCTCAGCACGTCTTCTGCAGGCGCTCGGTCGTTCTGTGACGGTTGTGACGACGAGGACTGGGATGAGTAGAATGGAGATAGGGAATTTGCCGTTGCCTGTCGTGCTAGAGACTGTTCGGGAATCCTCGAGGGCGAGGGTCGTCTGGAGGGAGAACGGTACCGCGCCACTATGCTTCGGTCTCTAAGCGTGCGCGTCAGAAAATCTGTCAGATATCGACTTGGTCCGCCTGCGTACCTGTTGCTCCGGGCATCCAGATGGACCCGGGTAGACGAATTTGCCTCGCTTGTCGCCCTGTCCGGGCTTGAAATTCGGGGAAGGTCTTTCGGCAGGTCGTTGGCCATCGTCTCTTGTCGGCCGAATCAGGGTCAATGGCAGCGTCAGGACTACGTGTGAGTTGATATGTAGAACCAATGCAAGAGAGTAAGTTTAAGAGAGGGCCAGGCAGACAGAGCCCTCATATTCGGAGTCCCGAAAAAGGAAGGCATGGCACGGTGGGATGCAAATTGATGACATAGTCTTTGCCCCGGCATTTTATATCGCGCCCACCGCCAGACAGCCCTCCCGTCAGCCCAAAGCGCAACAGGGCTGCAGGGCGCCTGGGCCGGCGGGAGCATGCAAGCAACAGCGGGAGCGGCGCGAGGATGGCTGCACGGAGGCAGGCTTGCATGGATGCAACACTCCATCACAATCACGTCTCAACGGCACCAGCCTGCGGTTGGTCGTTATTCCCACATGATTAACCCATCGATCGTGGAACCAACCGTTGACGGATGGCGCACCTGAAGAGGGTTAACCTCTCATATATCCTGTGACTTGTGTAACCTCAACCAAGAAAATGCGTAGCAGGCCAGGTCGGACTGTGGGAGACCTCCAGTCTGCGTGAGACAAAGCGAATTCGATGGTCGACTCAGCCATCCCTCGACCAGAGGCTTCAGCCACAGAGCTAGGCTTGATCTCGCTGTTGTGCCGTACAATGTGTGGCTTCGCCAATGTTTTCCTCAATTTTCTGTTTTCCCTCATTCAGCGGCCGTCACTGGTGGTGCACATTGCAAACTCTATCTCATGCAATAACTCGTCAACACCAGGGATCGTGTAAAGGATAGCTTACTACAGTGGCTGGTTGAAACCGATGAACCAGAGTTTGAAGACGTGATGTGGAGGGAAAGAGAGATGGGGCTGAGGTCGGTTGCCTCATAAATTCAACCTTGCTACTCCGTAGTTAACCCTGGGCACCGTGGATGAGCTGCCAAGAACCACTACATTACACGGTCTAGGCCCTGTAACTACAGACAGTACAGGTACTTGTGCATACCTGTACCCATACTGTATCAGGCGCCCAGCTTGAATTGTTTCTTACGTATTCGTACCTACGGCTAACGGCACGGTGGCTCCCATGGTGGGTGGGTTATGGTAAATTACCAGTATGTTATTAACGTACTTACTGTGTAGTGTACCTTACCGTACAGTACACCTAACGATAAGTAAGCAACTACGCTCTATCGCTTGAAGGCAGTCACAACCTACCGTTGACGGACTGATGCTGCCTGATAGATCTTGCCCCGGACGAGCTGAAATGAGTCCGCGTTGGTTGGCAGCAGCAGTGGCGCGGTTACAGATGAACCCCTCATGATCCTCCAGGTTTTCACCCACACTGTTTCGGTGAGGACAACGTCATGAGTGACAAGGGTGATGCCATGGACCTCGACGTTGACGGGCCCCGAGGCGCCAAACGGAAAGCTGAGGTTCTTGAAGACACAACAACCCCTCGTCGGATCAAGGTACGTACAGTAAAGCTGTCTTTCCTCTCTTCTTATTCCGTCTGCTAAGATGAAGTCACCAGCTTCTTGACCAAGATGTTGTCAACAAGATCGCCGCCGGCGAAATCATTGTTGCCCCTGTACATGCGCTCAAAGAGTTGATTGAAAATGCTGTGGACGCCGGGTCTACGTCCCTGGAGGTTTTGGTGAAGGATGGTGGCCTGAAGCTATTACAAATCACGGACAATGGCTGCGGCATTGATGTTTGTCAACCCATCTCCTCCTCCGACACCGCTGGCTTCTCGTTGCCTGCTACCTAGGCGCTTTTGCTCACTCGCAGTGGAAATAACAGAAGGACGATTTACCAATACTGTGCGAGCGCTTTACCACGTCAAAGCTTCAAAAGTTCGAGGACCTCCAGTCCATTGCTACCTACGGCTTTCGGGGAGAAGCCCTGGCCAGCATCAGCCACATTGCCCATCTGACCGTGACTACCAAGACCAGGGAATCTAATTGTGCCTGGCGGGCTTATTACGAAAGCGGCAAGTTGGCCCCGACCAAACCGGGTCAGTCGCCTGACCCTAAGCCAGTTGCCGGTCGGCAAGGCACCCAGATTACTGTCGAGGATCTCTTCTACAATGTTCCTACTCGTCGCCGGGCCTTCAGGTCTACGTCGGATGAGTACAACAAGATCATCGACATGGTTGGCCGCTACGCCATTCACTGTTCCAATGTGGCCTTTTCCTGCAAGAAGCACGGCGAGTCTTCAACGAGCATTGCCGTCCAAGCCAATGCCTCATGTCTCGACAGGATCCGCCAGATCTACGGTGCTAGTGTTGCCAATGAGCTCACCGAGTTTGCAACCTCAGATGACCGATGGGCTTTCAGAGCGAAAGGGCTGGCCACAAACGCTAATTACAGCACCAAGAAGACAACCATTTTACTCTTCATCAACCATAGATGCGTCGAGTCCTCCAACATACGGAAGGCCATCGAGCAGACATATTCTTCCTTTCTGCCCAAAAATGGCCATCCGTTCGTGTACCTCAGCCTTGAGATCGATCCCCACCGGGTAGATGTCAACGTGCATCCAACAAAGCGAGAAGTGAATTTTTTGAACGAGGATGAGATAATCCAAGCCATATGCGAGCATATACGCTCAAAACTGGCCAGTGTAGATGCCAGTCGGACATTTCTGACCCAGAGTCTTCTGCCCGGCAGCGCCCGATCGGCGCCTGAGTCTCAACAGCAGGAAGCCGCCTCTGCCCCTCTCAAGACAAATACCGGTGCCACCCGCAGGACACCGGTTCGGCCAAACGAGAACAACCTCGTTCGTACTGACACCAACCTGCGCAAGATTACTAGCATGCTGCCTCCCGCAGGAGCGACCACCCGGAGCAGCGCAGCAACAGACTCACACATGGCCCACAGACCCGACACCGAGATGATTGAGTACAAAACAGTCGACCGCGAGGCGACCGCTTGCCGCTTGATTAGCGTGCGTGAGCTGCGAGCAGCGGTGCGCGAGGACATGCACCACGAGTTGACAGAGATTTTCGCGAATCACACCTTTGTCGGGGTGGTCGATGAGTGCCGCCGTCTCGCCGCCATCCAGGGAGGCGTAAAGCTCTACCTTGTTGACTACGGCCGCCTGTGCTTTGAGTACTTTTATCAGCTGGGACTGACTGACTTTGGCAATTTTGGCGTCATCCAATTCAGTCCTCCACTCGACCTGAGAGAGTTACTTAGCCTGGCGGCCGAGCAGGAAAAGCGAGCCAGCGGCGACGGCAAAGGAGAAGACGATGATTTTGACGTCAGTGAAATTGTCGAGCTAGTGGCAGACCAGCTCATTGAGCGGCGCGAGATGTTACTCGAGTATTTCTCCCTCGAAATCTCCCCCACAGGCGAGCTGCTCAGCATCCCGCTGCTGATTAAGGGATACACCCCGGCCATTGCGAAACTGCCGCGCTTTCTTCTACAGTTAGGGCCCCACGTAAACTGGACCGAGGAGAAAGCATGCTTTGAAACCTTCCTTAAGGAGCTGGCCTCGTTCTACGTCCCCGAGCAGCTGCCGGCTTCCCCCGGTGTCGAGGGCGGTCCCAGCAGCGAGGAGGAAACGGACGTCGATGACGACATCAAGGCTCGCCGGAGTCAAGTCCGCTGGGCACTGGAACACGTCCTCTTCCCGGCTTTCAAGGCCAGACTCGTGGCTACCAAATCACTAATGCAGGGCGGCATATTGGAGGTGGCGGATTTGAAAGGATTGTATCGAATCTTTGAACGGTGTTAAGAGCGGCTTGTCATTTGGTGCGGGTTATGTGGGCTAATATGGAGTGCCAATGTATATATGGCAATGGAGTAAAAGATCTCGCTTACCTACGTTGTGGCTCAAACATCTGGCAATGCTTAGGTCAGGTAGCGTTGAGCGGCTAGCTAAAGACAACCGGACGTTGATACACCCCGTGCTAAACCTCACTATCAGGCTTGGTCCCAGTCTTCTACGTAGCATAGTCATGCATCTCATTTGTTGTTTCGTCTCGCCTCGCCTCTAGAATCGAGTGACTAACACAATAGGACAGGTCAGGCATGGTATTATTGTACATACCTCTACACTGCCCGAAGAGCACATCGGACCCCACCCCCTTTTGCCCCCGACCGAGAAATTCCATTCCCATTTTGCCTTACTCTCACATAGCCAGGAGAAAAGTGAACGGAACACGGGCTATCAGTCAACTCGACACTCTTGCTCAACTCAACTGAACTGAACCCAGTTTGCAAACTCCAGTAGTCCGACACCGGGGAGACAGCCCGACCAACCGATCCCCAACACGAGGGGTAGCAGGACATCATTCATCAACCAACAACAAAATCAACAAGTACCTAAAGGTAGCAATGAAGACAGAAAAGCCCACATGAATGCCATCCCTCGAGGCCTAGCCCATGTACCCACTCACAGCCCTCCATCAAGACAGCCCCCACCAAACACCCTCCACTTTCCTCGCTTGACCCGTGTCAAACCTGACTAGTGTACTTAACACCCTCGATAATAACTCAACCGTCTCCTCTTCTTCCCAATACCTTGAGGAGAATTTCGAGAGCCTAAATACCCCCGCTGTCAAATCAATCCTAGTCAGCAGCGGCGGGAGTAGAGAGAGACTCCGGCCTGCCGCGGCTAGAATAGATAAGGAAGATGGTGAGCATGTTTACGTGTGATGAGAGAGTTTTTGCCAGAGAGACCGGGAGGAGGACAGAGGGAGACAGAGAAAGCAGAAAAAAGCATCTCACAAACACATACCAAACCATGGATCCGTCCACTTTCCGATTCATCCGGCTCCGTCTCTCCTCCCTTTCTCACCCTCACACTCTCTCTCTTTGTCTCTATTTTGGGGCTCATCAGATCAAGGCCCTCGATACCCGCCGGGGGGCATCATCCCCCTCCGTTCAAGGCCCGCCATCCTGTCCAGCCTGTCAAACGGGCTCGGCAAGCCGAACCCCATGTTGCCGGCAATCGGAGGTCCGTTCGGCGGACCGTCAGGCTGGTGGAAGCTGCCGCCACCACCGCCGCCACCCATACCGGGAGGAGGAGCAGGAGGCGGGGGCATGAATCCCGGCGGAGGCGGCCCGCCAAAGAAACCCGGCGGTGGCTGCATCGACCGAGGAGGGCCGCTCTGTTGCGGGGGTCCGGGGGGACCTTGAGGGTGAGGGGGCCCAACCATTCCCTCCGGCCCACCGCCGGCGGTGTGCGGGCCTGGGGCAAAGGTGCCCGGTCCGCCGTGGCCGTGGAGAGGTGGAAAATTAGGCGCGTACATGCCAGGCATGGGGACGTTGATGTTGCGGGGTGGGTTACTGTTATTCATGAGCCCTGGGGGTGGAATCATGGGTCGCTGTGGAGGCATTTGGGCTGCGGCAGCTGCAGCGGCGGCGGCGACTCCCCCCATGTGGAACGGGTGCATCTGGTGGTCCAAGCCGAGAGGGGGTGGAGGTCGCTGTAGGATCTGGGTCGGTTGGGGTGGCGGACGGGTGTCAACGTCCGGTGGATGGAACTGGTTGCCGCCATCATCGAGAAAGCCTGGGGGTCCGCCGCCCTGACCACGAAGCTGCTGGCGCTGCGAGTCTCTCCGCTCACGCTGATAGTCCTGCTCACGGTCAGGGATATTCGCGAGCGACACCTGCTTGGTGGGTTGTGGCATTCGGACGAGAAGCTGCTCCGTGCGCGGCGGCTCCGGAGCGTCGCGATGACTCTGCATGAGGCGCATAAGAAATTCAGTGTTGCTGTTGACAGCAGCTGCGTTCTGCGCCAGGCGTGTGGTGGTCTGGTTGGGTAGTTGGTGTCGTTGAGCGAGGAGGTCTTGCAGCGCCTGCTCTGGACGACTAACAGGGGGAGGCTGGACTGGCGGGCCCACTGGCCGAGGCGACAAAATATCATTAATCGAGGGCTGTGACGTGCGCATGCGCCCATCGTCGCGCCTATCATTGGAATATTGCTGGAATGTTTCCGGAGGCGTAGCAACACTCTTCTGTTGTAGCTCCTGGAATGGTGAAGGCTCTGGAAACTTGGGGGCGGCAGGCTGCGGGGAAATTGCCGACCTCTGTAACTGCTGCAAAAGGCGAGCAAATGCGACTTTCTCGGTTTCGCTCTGCTGCGAACTTGTCGTAGCGCTATCGCCGGGTTGAGGTGCTGCTGCCGGCGTCGCCGGCTCGGTCTTTGCACGATTGTCCTCTTGAGACGTCATCAGTGCCATGAACCGGGACGACTTTCCTCCCTTCGGCTTAACCGCATCCTTGCCCTCGCCCGCGGCTACGCTGACATCAAGGCTAGAGTGTCCATAAGTGGCAAAGAACTTGTCTTCACTTGTCTCCATGGGAGGCGCCGAGACCACCTTCTGTTCGACCTCGGGAACGGCATCCACGGCAGGCTTGTCGAGGGCTATTCCCTTCTTCTCTTCAGGTTTTGGCGCACTACCCCCTTTGGCCGCCTTCATGGCTTCCATGAACTTTTTGAAATCTTCCTCTGTATGGCCTTGAGCCTTTTCCTCGGCGGGCTCGTCAAGCCATTCTGGCTCATTCTCGACGCGGGGCTGGCGATCCCATCGTCTCTCGTAGTTCCTGTCATAGCGATCACCCTGTCTGTCACCAAGCCTGTCGTCGGGGTCACGGTCACGCCAGCTCTTGGCCCTCTCAATGCGCTCCCGCTGAGACATTGGGGCGTCATTGTTGCCGCCGTTCGAGCTATCCTTGAACCACGAGTCAGACTTGCCCCGCGGCAGCCCATTCCTGCGAAGCGTGTCGGCCTCATCGCCGTCCTGGTCTCTGAAATTGCGGGAGCGGCGGTCTCCACTATCTCGGTCATCCCGGTCCCGCAACCGCCGATCGTCGCGCACGCCAAAACGGTCACCGCCGGCACCGCCCATGCGTCCATGGAAGCGCTCGGCACCCTCGTGGCCAAAGCTCTTACGAGGCTTCACCGTGCTCCATCCATCGCTGTCCTGATCTTGGTCACCACGTCGCCGGAAGCCATTGTTGCGAATTTCTCTGCCGTCCCGGCCAAATCTGTCCCCAGCATCCCCCGATTCAGTGGGGCGGCTGCGGAAATTGAAACGATCGGTACGGTCTTGCCGCTCCGGGTCTTTAAACCCTTTGTCAGCGTCGCCGGTTCGATTGTTGCGCGCTGATGTCGCAGATGCGAAGCTCGTCCGCGGCGGACCAAGTATCATCTCATCTGGATCTGATTGGGCGTTCGACTTAGCGAATGACAGCAAACATTGAGGGTCGGACAGTTGCCGGGGTCATCGAGTTAGGACGAGGGGCAAGGTAAGAGACATACTGGTTGTGCTCCTTGAGCCATTGCGGTCTAACGCCGGACGCCGGGCCTCGTTGTTGAGGAGCATACCGTCACCGCTCTTGATGCGGTCGTTGGGCGCCTTGGCTTGGTTGCGGAATGTCTCGGGCGGCGGCCTAAGAGCGATAAAGAGTCAGACATGGCTAGCAGGTTGACTACCTATGAACGAGTCCAGAGAATATGCAGTACATACCCCATCCACTCCTCTGCGGGAGGTAAACCGGGGGGCTTCACACATAGTGGCGATTGGCGCAGGTGCAGCAGAAACTCTGCTGAATATCGAACGGCCATAGTAGATTATGCAACAAGCATCGGCTTGTGGGTGTGATGTCGCCCGTGCCGGACGAGGCGGCAAGGTGTTTTGGGACGTTAGCTGTCAAGCTAGCTGGTGTCCCGATCGGCAGTCCGGCCAAAGAGATGGGTGAATGCGGTGCGAGTCCGATGTTGTCGAAATGAAATCGCCCGAGAAAGCACACCACCAAAAAGGTGATGGAGGCAGGTATCGGATTCTCACCTTGGTGTCGGCGATGTGCTGATGCAGCGATCAATGATTGCGGATATGGATTTCGGTTTGTTTTGTGTTGACTCGAATCTTGTGCGAAGGTTTCGAAGTTGGTTGAGATGTTGAAAGTGTGCAGTTGTCGTTCGTTGATCGGTGATTTTGGGCTCTCCCGAGCTGTTTGCCGCCTGTGGCAGGTTGTCAATATTAAACTGGGACCGTGCTGGGGTTTTGCGGACAGCGCCCGGGCCCCCAGTCCCGGGCGATCACTGGGTGTGGACTGTGGACAAGGTGAGGTGGTGTGGCGCTGCCAGGGGAGTTCTGCTGGGGGGTGAATAATTAGCACCGTTCCATGGTCCATGGAAAGCCTACTCGTCAGGACTCAGGAGCTACATACGCATCTGACCCACTACTTCGTAGAGGGTCAGGACGGTTGATTC